CACAACGCAGCAACGTAACCCGCACGCCATATGAATCACCGTGTGGTAAACACTCGGCGCCTGATCTGGCCAATGAACAGCTTCTTCGGGTTCAGACCTGCGACAAGGGAAACTCAAAGAGGAGCTGCCGCAAATTCTTTCTGCCACATGTTCAAATATATTCTGCCTTGGGTGAGCGAACTAACTGATGCGAGTTCACAAGAAACCAACACGTCTATCTTTTCGCAAGCTTGAACCTATGACACATTCCCCTCAAACACTGTCCATGTCCAAAGTGTACACCGATCACGATATTGGAACCGGTTTTTGTGCTGGAGTTTGTGGAGATGAGGGCACATGAGAAACGACTTGCTTGGAGAAAAACTCGCGTTCGTCGAAGATTTTGACAAAGAGCGTTGCGCAAACCATTATCAATACCAACACATTTGATATTGTAGTTCGGTGTTCAGCACATGTCCTGCCGCTCTGGACCTTGGAATGATGGCTCATTTCCTAATCGCCGAACGCATTTTTCTACATCCTCTGCCAAATGGTTGTGTGGACATCTAGCGGGAACAACATTGCGATCCGGGGCAACAACTAGATGGCCTCAAGACGATTCAAGAGGCCCCCAAGTCGGCTCAGTAGGACCCCGAGAGGGGTTCTCGAGGGGGGACACGAAACTACATGTCGAGCCCTTCGCCCCAAGATGGCCCCCGAGACCGCCAGCAAGCCCGCAAGAGGCCCCCCGGAAGGTGCCCCCAAGAGGTTCACATCAGGCCCCAAGAGGCCTCCACGAGACTCTTCAAAGGTCCCCAAGACAGCCCCAAATCAAATCGAAGAGGCTTCCGAGAGGCCTTCTAATAGATCTCCACATGCATCCCGGAGGCCTCTGACCTACAACCTGGCGCGGTGGCGGGATGGGCCGAAGACCACTAGATACGCCGCCCCCTGTCGATTCATCGCAGGGGTGCCTGGCGTGCTAGATCCTATCGGTTTTGGTTTTGGTTCTTTTTCCACAAGAACTCTCCTAGTGGGTTTCGGCCCGTCCCGCCACCGTGCCGTTCGCTCGGGACATCCTTAAAACATCGTGAAGATGGCCCAATTCGTTCGGGACATCCTCAAAAAGCTCTTCCAGGACCGCAAACTCCACGAAACATCCTCCCTGAAACTGCCGTTTCGCTGGGGACATCCTCAAAACATCGCGAAGATGGCCCAAGATGGCCTCCAAGTCCGCCCGCAAGACGGCCTCCGAGACGGCCTCCAAGACGGCCCAAGAGAGTCCAAGACGGCCCAAGAGGCCCCCCAGAGGCCTCCCAGACGGCCCAAGAGGCCTCCAAGAGGTCCTCCAGGAGGGCCCGAAGAGGCCAAAATCATTGATGTTCCATAAATTTTTGAAGGATTTTGGAATTTGCTTCTTCTCGGCATTCCGACGGCTCAAGACGGCCCAAGAGGCCCCCAAGAGGGCCCCATGACGGCCCGAGTGGCCTCCAAGACGGCCCCCAGAGGGCCCCAAGACGGCCCAAGAGGCCTCCAACCCCCCAGAGGGCCCCAAGAGGCCTCCAAGACGCCCAAGATGGCCTCCAAGACACGCCCACGTGTTCCCCGAAGGCTTTCCAAACCGATTCGGGGAACACATGGTCCGATAGCTTGGCAGGTCTGGTCTCAACGTTCGGCCACATAGGCGCTTCCACAAAGGCATGGGGGCGGCGGTGATTCGCCGCCCCCTTTTGATTTATCAAAGGGGTGCCTGGCGTGCTGGATGATATGGCCTTGGGTTTTGGTTCTTTTTCAAGAAAAAAAACTCCCCCTGGGGCTTCGGCCCATCCCGCCGGCCACCCGGAAAGGATCTCAAAACGCGTCCGTCGTGCCTCTGTTCCTCCAGTTGGCCCAAGATGGCGTCCAAGACGGCCAAGATGGCCCAGGATGGTCTCCAAGACGGCCCAAGATGACCTCCAAGACGGCTAAGATGGCCCCAAGATGCATCCCAAACGGCCCAAGATGGCCTCAAGATGGTCTACGACGGCCCAACAGGCCCGCAAGAAGCCTCCAAGACGGTCCAAGAGCCTTCCAAGACGTCCTCCAGGAAGGCCCGAAAGGGCCAAAATCATTGATCTTCCGTAGTTTTGTAAAAGTTTTTCGTATTTGCTTCTTTTCGGCATTTGCGCCTTTGCGCCTTTTCGGCTTTCCGACGGCCCAAGAGGCCCCGAAGATCGCCCAAGAGGCTCCAAAAAGGGCCCCATGACGGCCCAAGTGGCCTCCAAGACGGCCCAAGAGGCCTCCAACACGCCCAAGACGGCTCCCGACGGCGTCAGACGTGCAGGAACCCACCAAGATGGCCGAAGTTGGCTCGAAGCTGGCCCAAGAGGCCCCCAAGAGGGCCTCCAGGAAGGCCAGAAGAGGCCCAAAACATTGATTTTCGTAAGGTTTTTGCCGGATTTTGACATTTGCTTCTCTTCGGCCTTCCGACGGCCCGAGATGGCCCAAGAGCCCCCGAAGATCGCCGAAAGATCGCCCAAAAAGCCTCCAAGATGGCCCCCGAACGGCCCAAGAGGGCCCCAAAGGGCCCCCAAGACGGCACAGGAGGCCTTCAAGACGCCCAAGATGGGCCTCCAAGACGGCCCTGGAGCATTCCAAGAGGGCTCCAAGTCGGCCCATAGAGGCCCCCCAAACGGCTTCCGACGGCGTCAGACGGACCAGGAGCCCACCAAGACGGCCGAACATGGCCCTACGATGGCCCAGGACTGCCCAACAGGCCTCCCAGAGGGCCTCCAGGAAGGCCCGAAAAAACCAAAATCATTGATTTCCAATGGTTTTGGAAGGATTGTGGCATTTGTTTTTTTTTCTGCCTTCCGACGGCCCGAGACGGCCCAAGTGCCCCCAAAGATCGCCCAAGAGGCCCAAGACACAGCCCCAAGAGGCCCGTAAGACTGCCCAAGAGGTCTCCAAGACGCTCAATATGGCCGCCGAGACGGCCCAAGAACCCTCCAAGACGTCCCCCAAGAAGGCCCGAAAGGGTCAGAGCAACGGTCCCTCTTTTTGCGGAGACGGATTCTAGCGAAACTCTGGACTCGTCGTGGCCAGAAGCTTCGGGAGTCTAAAGGCATGCCTTGAAACTCCTTCTCCCCCAGGGTTGGGGGGGTGGGAAACCGACAAACAACTTGAGAATGAACGGCAGCAGGGAAGAGAAGCGACTGGACGGTTCCTGCTGTCTCAATGTGGACAAGGGAAGCCGAAAACATCACCAAGACGGCCCCTCTGCTCAACCCGTTCTAAAACCTCCAGAGCAACGGTTCCCTTTTTTTTCGGAGACTGATTCTAGCGAAACTCTGGACTCGTCGTGGCCAGAGGCTTCGGGAGTCTAAAGGCATACCTTTAAACCCATTTCCCCAACTCATCCCGAAAGAATCCAATTAGGATGTTCACTTGGGCGGGAAGAAAAAGGGTGGGTGAAGCCAGCTCTAGCGTCAACGATGCTGGCCAGCAAAGTCGAGACCATGGCCTTCGCCATATATCGGGGATATTCGGAAGCGATGCGTGTGCGACGGAGGCCACCTGGCCCCCCGCCGCTCAGCTGCCAGTGGGGGCGTAGGGTCCTCGAACATATACAGCCCTGTGGTCTACATCGCTGGGTGAGTTTACTCAGATCTTCAAGGTTCACATTGCCACGCGAAACCCTAGTAGCCTTCTCCCATTTAGCGCCGTACTGGCACTGGTCGGGCTCGACTAAAAAGACATGCTTACAATGGGAGGGCTCGCGCATATCTGCAGTGTGCCAGAGTCGGCTGGTCAGCGGATGCTCGAGCATGACAGGAATGCCTCGCCGTAGAAAGAATCTGAACAGGGACAGAGCGACTCGAGCAAGACGATTGCCGAGGTGCACAGCTGCCGCATCGGCAGCAGTCAAAAAAGAATCGTTGAACCCCCAGGGCTCATCGCGACTTCGCACAGGCCGAGATCTGTCATGCGCAGGTGAAAAGGTCTGGCACGGCGGGGCCAGCACTGCAGCCACCAGCCGCCCAACTCGGGCGTCTGATCTGATGGCTTGCAAGACTTTTGGCGACAACAAGTCCTGCCGCTCTGCGTCGTGGATGACGTCCCAGCTTCGCGAGCGGAACCCTAAACTGTCGGCCGCGCGCGAGATTGCCCTGCAGCCTGCAAAAAGATCGGCCAGGTACTGTCCTTTCCTTCGGCGAGAACGATAGAGCCGACCCCTTGATCGTGCCCCTCTGTAGCCGAGGTGCAATTGGGTTAGTTTCACTCTAGACGCACGCTGAAGGGCTGTCCCGTCAAGATCTGGGTCGACTGCCTCTCCGCCTGCTCGCGCACTGCGCGCAGAGCAGGGGCCAACTTCGCGTAGCTGCTTCCCAGCCTGCTGCTGTGCTCGTAGCGGTGCATGGGCTTGGCCTGGGTCCACTCGCTTCGCCTCTGGGCCGAGGTGAGATTGCGCCACCCTTTGGCCAGGTCGATGCTGGCTCCCGAGTGCCTCATCTGATACAAAGTGACGGGAGCGACTCCGACATCCTCCGCCGCTTCTCTGAGCAGGGCCGACGCCTCGGGGTAGTCGAAGTTCCACAGCGGCTCCTTCGAAGCTGCAGAGCCCAGTCGTTTGAACACAGCATCCAAGCCCTGGAGGTACGGAGAGTCCAGCGGGCATCCCTCGTCGAAGTGGCCTCTCTTGCTGGGCTTCCTCCGCTCCCGAGGATGAGTCAGCAAGGCCCAGTGGCGGCTGACGCCCGTCGTCGGGGGGGCGAGGTCGCACCTCCGGGCGGCCAGCAAGGTCGAGGGCCGCGAATATGTCGAGACGCCCACCATGAGGAAGAGCGCAAGCCGAATGTGTCCTCGGCGCACCAGCTTCCAAGCCAGGCCGCACCAGACCGGGAGGGCCAAGGCCTTCCGCCGCCGCCCAGGGGTCAGCCTGCGCCAGGCTTTGAGAGACCGCCAGGCGCGGGGTAGCTTGCGACCCCCGATTCGCCCGAAGTCGGGGTTCGCGCTGACCCAGGCCGCCATGGTCTGATCACCATGGCTGCTCTGCTCGCCCTGCAAGTAATTCTCGGTCAAGTAGTTGCAAAACAGCTCGTCGATCTCTGCGTCGGCCTTCGCGACGATGTCCTCCCGCTTCAGGCCGACGCGCGAGTGGAAGAGATCGAGGTAACGCTGGTGCTTCACCTGCGTCGGCCGCGTCGCGGCCAAGGTCTCCAAGAGGCTCACTCCCGCTTCCTGAGCAGCAAGGATCGCGTCGGCGTGCAGCTTCGCTCGCCTCTGCGCACTCCGAGCGCGCAGCTGCCGCATCCGCGCGCGGCCGCGCCCCAGGTGCTCGATCACCGAGTCGGAGCCGCTGGAGCTGCTGTCGCCCTCGGCGGCCTCCCCTCCGTCTCCAGCGAGGTCCTGCCCGTTGGCGTCCCTGTCGTCCAGCGCCGAGAAGTGCCGCTCCTTCCGCGCAGCCCTCGCTGGCGCAGCGGAGGGGGCCGGCGCCGGCGCGCGTCGGCGCCCTGCCGCAGGCGGGGCGGCCGGCGTCTGGGCGCCCCTCGGGCCAGTTCGCGCGCGGCTCGCCACGTGCCTGGCCGTCAGTGCCCACGAGCCCACCGCTGTCCGAGGGAGCCTGTCGCCTGAAGGCAGCGACGGCTCCCGAACCACGAGCGCGCTGAGCCCCCGCAGCCGCTTCGGGCCCATGCTCAGAGCCCTCTACATTCATCGGGAGCTCGGCGATGGTGGCCAGAACCGAAGGTTTAGATCCAAAACGCCTACTGACAGGACCAACGGACACGTCTGGTTCGGGGACGGCTCTTGGAGGGCGGGTTTGCAAATTCAAACTGGCCTCAAACTTATCATCGAGGAGAAATGTTACTATACTACTGTCTCTCTCTGAAAAAAAAAACCTGCTGCCTCCGTCACTCTCATTAAACTCAGACGGGATCCATCGAAAGGCGGGTGAAAGACCCAACGCTATGGCATAGGCATAGAATCGACGAATCTGAACCAAAAGACTGAAGCATGAGGATCGGGCCATCGAAAAAGAAAGCACCACAGACATGTTATCTGAAAGGGAAAGCTGACGCACACTGACTCCATGAGAGGTCTTGGCCAACCTCTGGACTGTTTTAACAAGGGCCCTGGCCTCCAGGATCAAAATGCCTTCGGGAAAACGCTAGATCCCTGAGCGGGCCGTCTCCCAGGCCCCTTTTCGAAGCCACTCCCAGGGGACTTCGGCAAAGTCAGGATCAACGTCCCAGGCGGACAAAGCATCGGGCTCCGAGGACTCCTCATTTATCACGCTCTCGACGCTGCGGATCACCCCCGAGCTATCCTGGACCAGGCTGACGGCTGCGAGCGCGCTCTCTCGCGCAGGCCTTCCCTGCGCGGAGCGGAAGCGGGCCCGCTCGGGCAGCCTCCCGACCTCCCCCACCACGCGGAGCGGCCAGAACGACTGCGCCATGCCCCAGCCGCTCTCGCTGGCGTCGGTCTGGAGCACGCAGCTGTTCCACGGGCGCCGCCAGTCCTGCACCATCAGCACGAGCAGGCCGCGGAACATCTTCACCTCCTTCGCGACTTCGGGCCACAGGCGAGCGGGCTCGAGGCGGTGCCGCTGGATGAAGCGGTCGGAGGCGTGCCGGCAGCGCAACGAGCCCCGCAGAGCCAGCCCGCAGAAGGTGCAGTGGCCGAGCACCATCTCCAGGGCTCGCTCCGTCGCGCGGCCGCGCGCCAGCAGGCCCCCCAGCCCCATGTACACCGTCCAGAAGCGGCCGTCGCTCACGCCCGACCTCATCAGCTCGAGGTCCAGCTTGGCCCCCGGAGCCTCGCACGCGGCCGAGGTCGCAAGTCGAGGCCGGCCCCCTCGAAAAGCCCCGTCCACTTATCGAGGGCCTCCTGCGCGATGGTCTCCGACGGGGTGATGGCGCCTAGGTTGTCGACGTGCGCGTAGGCCCCCCCCACGATGCCAGGTTCGAAGTCCATGACCAGCGGGGGCCCTCGGTCGCTCACGAGCAGCCTCTCGGAGATCGTCATATCTCCTCCTGGCCAAGGGTTCGAGCTAACCACTCTCTCCTCGTTGGCATCCTGCGCCAGGAAGAGCGACCGCGAGGAGCCCGTGGGGGGCGCGCCGATGCACGGAAAGACCAGGGTGTCCGGTCCCAGTCGAGCCCCCTCGAGCTCCTGGCCCGCGAGCCCTAGGGCGTGGGCGGGCGCGGCCGGCAGCGAGGATAACTTCGCCAGGCTCAGGGGGATGCGCATGCTGTAGAAGCACTCCTTAACGTCCGTCATCCCCAGAAAGAACCTGAACTTGCCCAGCAGCTCCTCCGCGCGGGCGGAGTTCATGGCCACTCCCTCGGGGGGCCTCACCTCCGCGCGCCCGAAGCCCTCGCAGGAGAGGAGCTGCGCGCTGGGCGGCGCGTAGAACCAAGCGTTGGCACGGCGGGCGCCCACTATCATGCGCATCTTGTGCCCGTCAGACTTTTCTCGGATAAAAAGGCCAGCCTGCTCAGGAGGCGTCAAAGTTGCCAACGGGAGACCTCGTGACGTGAGATCCTTGAAACAACTGCGGTACTTCTTCTCGTTCCGCTTCAGAAGCGGGTCAAAATACGGAGTCGGCAAGTTGTCAAAATCGATCTCGTGGATCGGCCCCCTCATGCGCTTGTGATTCTCCTCCAAGTAAGTGCGACCAGCCTCGCCCACCATGTCTTCCACCTGGCGGCAGCCGACAATCGAAGGGGGCACGGGCACGCGGTCGCGGACCAAGGAGGCCAGGTTCCTCGGGGAGCCCGACGCGTCGTAGATTGAGCTCCCCTCGAGCAACGCACTGAGCGCCGCCTCGCGGGATGGGCAGGGGCTGGGAGCTGCGGCCTGACGCCGAAGAGCATCGCTTGCCACCCACTGCGCGATCCCAGCGTGCTTGCCCCAGATGGAGTCCATGGGGCGCGGCGAGCCAGCGTCGGCCGGCTCTCAGCCAGCAAGCCAATTGAGAGTCGATCGTGCCGCTCGCCAATTCGTGCTCGCGCCTCCGCCTGGCGCCAGCCATCCGGGCGCGGCTGCCGCCCCTGCTGGTAGGCGGCGCGGCCAGGCGAGGAAGAAGGAAGAGGTCCCTGTCCCCGCTCGCCACGGCCAAAGGCGCTCGCCGGGCCGAAGAGGAAGTCCAGCCAGCGGGGGCCCACTCCGCCGACTGTGTCGAGTCCGTCATGATTGCGCGGGCGGCGCGAGGGCACGCGATCGGTTCTTGTTGCCCCGGCCGCCCCCGCTGCCGCCCCGGCCACCGCCTTCGCCTCCATCGTCGGCCGTCTCGCGCGGTGGAGCTCGAGATGATGGGGCGCTCGCTGCGACCGCCTCGGCCCTCTTGTCACCCTGCAGCAGCTCATGCCCCTCCTTGGCGCGCCTCGACGCGTGTGAGCGCAGGCCTGGAGCCATGGGCTGGCCCACCTCCGTCAGAGGCGAGAGGTACTTCGCATTGGAGTAGGGCGCCGTGCCGCATCGTGCCGCATCGACTAACAGATTCAATCGAAGAGCCGCGACCTCCAAGCACGCCAATCCACCTAAGTTGAGCTGGTCGAACTCTCCAGCCTCCTCCAGGATGTCGCAGAGCACCCTGAGCTCGTGGGCCACCCTGTCCGTGGACGATATCCCCTTGTCCCTGAAGAAGCGTTCCAGCCAGGCCCGAGGTGAGCCATTCAAGTTCATCATCATCTTGCACGTGTGGACGCACGTCCGATCTGAGGGCAGGCGATGGTGTGATCCTACTCCGCGTTCGAGCTCTCGGCCACGGCGCGGCGGAAGTCCTTCCTGCGCTCGCCCTGCTCGTCCCAGTCGACCCAAAGCGTTATGGCGTCATTGTTGGGCTCCTCGGGCGCGGCCTCCCTCCGAGCATCAGGCTCATCAGCGAGGCCCAGCTTGGCAGCTAGGTGGTCGGGGTCAGGGTGGCCCGCTGGCGCGCGGGGCGGAGGGGTCTCGGTGCCGCCGACCGCGGGTCCCGCGGGCGCCGGCAAGGGGGCGGCTCCAAGCGGCCCTCGCAGCTCCTCCAGACGACCAGCAGCCCACTCGACGATGGCGTCCGCGTCCACCTGCTCCAGCCGAGCCCAGCGGCCGCCGCCAGAGAGGCGGGCCAACGCCTGGCTGCCGGCGCGCGCCGCGCCCTCGGGCAAGGGGTCCACCACCGTGCCGACGGGCATCCCTGGCAGCGGCCCCGCCAGCACCCACGGCCGCTCACCCATCAACCATGGGGAATACTCTCGGTCAGGCCGCTCAACACCGTCGGGGAGCATCGCGCGCCCCGCGACCTCGGACTCTCGCTGGCCTCGGCCAAGCATAGTCTCGCGGCACTCCGCCGCGCGCTCCAGGATCTCGTCCAGGCTCGGGGGCAGGCGGAACCTGTGCAGGCGGCGACCGTCTGGAGGGTCCCCCGGGCCACCTGGTCCAGGATGGATCCTCCCGAAGGGCCCGTCGCGGGACTCTCCCCGCTCAGGTCCTCCTCCCACACGTCGCCGTCGGCGGACAGCACCCAGTGCACCGACTTCCCCCGCTGCCGCCCCCGCGCGTCTCGATGACGGCTCGGCCGGAGCACGATCCTGGCGTGGTCCATGGCCTCCCCCTCGTACGAGACGCGGATCAGCGATCCGATGGGCAGCTCAGCGCACCATGCCCCCGCCGCGGCGAGCGGGGGCAGGTGACGTCGAGCGATCAACTTCTTCCGTGCGGCTGCGGCGTTGGCAGCTGTGAGCCAGCCGGCGTAGCTCTCCCAACAGCGCGACCGTCACGCCAGGAGCAGCCGCAGCGATCCAGCCCCAGGGGTCCGCTTCGGGCTCAGGCTTCGAACTCTCGACCACAGGACGCACCAGCTGCACCACGGGGCACGGCGCCGCCTCCAGCTCGGGGCACGATGGGCAGCTGTCGGGGTCGGGCGGAAGCCACGCTGGCGGGCACACGGCCTGCAGAGCGCAGGGAGGAAACCCCGGCTCCAATGCAGGATGCAGGCCACTTGAGAGCAGCGCGATCAGGTTGGCAAGCCCCAGGCCCACTAGCGCGAGGTGGCCTGGGGGCGCAGTCATCTGAGACCGACAAACAACTTGAGAATGAACGGCAGCAGGGGAGAGAAGCGACTGGACGGTTCCTGCTGTCTCAGTGTGGACAAGGGAAGCCGAGAACATCACCAAGACGCTCTGCTCAACCCGTTGTAAAACCTCCAACATGGCCTCCAAACGGCCAAGATGACCTTCAAGATGCCCACGTGTTCCACGAAGGTTATCCAAACCGATTCGGGGAACACGTGGGCCGATAGCTTGGCAGGTCTGGCTTCAACGTTCGGCCACGTAGGCGCTTCCAAAAACGCAGGGGGCGGCGGTGATTCCCCGTAGGCGTCTTCGATCAGCCGCCCCCTGTCGATTCATTGCAAGGGTGCCTGGCGTGCCGAATCCTATCGGTTTTGGTTTCGGTTCTTTTTCCAACGAAAACTCCCCCTGGGGCTTCGGCCCGTCCGCCGGCCGCCCCGAAAGGATCTCAAAACACATCCGTCGTGCCTCTGTTTCCTCCAGTTGGCCCAAGATGGCGCCCAAGACGGCCAGAATGGCCCAGCATGGTCTCCAAGACGTCTCCGAGATGGCCTCCAAGATGGCCCCAAGATGCCTCCAAGACAGCCCATGATGTACCCAAGACTGCCTCAGATAGCCTCAGGATGGCCTCAACATGGCCCAAGACGGTCTAAGAGTCCTTCAATACGGCCCAGAAGGCCTCCAAGAGGTCCTCCAGGAAGGCCCGAAGAGGCCAAAATCATTGACTTTCCTACGGGTTTTGAAGGATTTTGGGATTTGCTTCTTCTCGGCATTCCGACGGCTCAAGACGGCCCAAAAGGCCCCCAAGATCGCCCCAAGACGGCCCAAGAGGTCCCCAAGACGGCCCCAAGAGGGGGTCCCAAGAGGCCTCCAAGACGGCAAATATGGCCTCCAAGACGGCCAAGATGGCCTCCAAGTCCGCCCAATAGAGGAGGAGATGCCTCCAAGTCCGCCCAAGAAACCTCCAAGACGGCCCAAAATGGCCCAAGAGGTGCCCAAGAGGCCTCCAATGCGGCCCAGGAGGCCTCCGAGAGGTCCTCCAGGAGGGCCCGAAGAGGCCAAACTCGCTGATTTTCCGTAGGTTTCTGAAGGATTTCCGTATTTGCTCCTTTTCGGTTTTCCGACGACCCAAGGTGGCCCAAGAGGCCCCCAAGATGGCGTCAGGACTGCCCAAGAGGCCCCTAAGACGGCCCCAAGAGGGCACAAAGACGACCCAATAGGCTTCCAAGACGCCCAATATGGCCTCTAAGACGGCCCTGGAGCACCCCAAGAGGGCCCCAAGTCGGCCCAAAGAGGCCCCCCAAACGGCTTCCGACGGCGTCGGACGGGCCAGGAACCCACCAAGATGGCCGAAATTGGCTCGAAGCTGGCCCAAGAGGCCTCCAAGAGGGCCTCCAGGACGGCCAACCACATTGCCTTTTCCTAAGTTTTTGAAAGTTTTTGGCATTTGTTTCTTTTCGGCCAATACGGCCCAAGAGCCCCCAAAGATCGCTCACAGATCGCCCAAGAGGCCTCCAAGAGGGCCCCAAAACGGCCCAAGAGGCCCCCAAGACGGCCCAGGAGGCTTTTAAGATGCCCAGGGTAGCCTCCAAGACGGCCCTGGAGCATTCCAAGAGGACCCCAAGTCGGCCCAGAGGGGCCCCCAAACGGCTTCCGACGGCGTCGGACGGGCCAGGAGCCCACCAAGACGACCGAAGATGGCCCTAAGATGGCCCAAGACGGCCCAGGAGGCTTCCAAGAGGGCCTCCAGGAAGGGCAGAAAAGTCAAAATCATTGATTTCCCATGGGTTTTGGAAGGATTGTGGCATTTGCTTTTTTTCTGCCTTCCGACGGCCCGAGACGGCCCAAGTGCACCAAAAGATCGCCCAGGAGGCCCACGACGGCCCCCAGAGGCCCCCAAGACGGCCCAAGACCAAAACGCTCAAGATGGCCTCCAAGACGGCCCACGAGCCCTCCAAGACGTCCTCCATGAAGGCCCGAAAGGGTCAAAATGGCCTCCAGGCGGCCAAGACGACTTTCAAGATGCCCACGTGTTCCACGAAGGTTCTCCAAACCGACTCGGAGAACACATGGTCCGATAGCTTGGCAGGTCTGGCCTCAACGTTCGGCCACCTAGGCGCTTCCAAAAAGGCAAGGGGCGGCAATGATTCGCCGTAAGCGTCTTAGATCCAGCGCCCCTTTTGATGTATCAAAGGGGTGCCTGGCGTGCCGGATGATATGGCTTTTCGTTTTGGTTCTTTTTCCAAAAGAACTCCCCTGGGGCTTCGGCCCGTCCCGCGGGCCACCCGGAAAACCCGCCTGTCGTCGCCTTTCTTGCCCCAAGATGGCCCAACATGGCCTCCAAGACGGCCAAGATGTCCCAAGATGGCCTCCAAGTTGCTCCAAGACCGCCAAGATGGCCTCAAAGACGGCTACGATGGCCCCAAAATGTACCCAAGACTGCCTCAGATGGCCTCAAGATCATCTAAGACTGCCCAAAAAACCCGCAAGAGGCCTCCAAAACGGCCCATGAGGCCTCCAAGACGTCCTCCAGGAGGGTCCGAAGAGGTCAAAATCATTGATTTTCCATTGGTTTTTGAAGGATTTTGGTATGTGCTCCTTTTCGGCCTTCCGACGGCCCAAGACGTCCCAAGAGGCCATCAAGATCGCCCAAGAGGCCTCCAAGATGGCCCCAGGACGGCCCAAAACGCCTCCAAGACGGCCTCAAGAGGGCCCAAACACGGCCCAAGAGGCATGCAAAATGCCCAATATGACCTCTAAGACGGGCCTGGAGCACTCCAAGAAGGCCCCAAGTCGGCCCAAAAAGGCACCCCAAACGGCTTCCGACGGGCCAGGAGTCCACCAAGATGGCCGAAGTTGGCTCGAAGCTGGCCCAAGACGGCCCAAGATGCCTCCAAAAGGGCCTCCAGGAAGGCTAGAAAAGGCCAAATACATTGAATTGCCAAAAAGGTGTTCGAAAGATTTTGACATTTGCTTCGTTTCGGCCTTCCGACGTCCCGATACGGCCCAAGAGCCCGCAAAGATCGCCCAAGGATCGCCCAAAAGGCCTCCAAGATGGCTCCAGAAGGGCCCAAGAGGCCCCCAAGACGGCCCCAAGAGACCCCCAAGACGGCCCAGGAGGCTTTTAAGACGCCCAAGATGGCCTCTAAGACGGGCCTGGAGCACTCCAAGAGGGCCCGAGCACTCCAAGATGGTCCCAAGTCGGCTCAGAGAGGCCCCCCAAAAGGCTTCCGACGGCGTCGGACGGGCCAGGGGCCCACGAAGACGGCCGAAGGTGGCACTACGATGGCCCAGAACGGCCCAAGAGGCCTCCAAGAGGCCTCCAGGAAGGCCCGAAAAGGCCAACATCATGGATCCCCCATGAGTTTTTGAAGGATTGCGGCATTTGCTTTTTTTCGGCCTTCCAACGGCCCAAGTTTTTTTTTCCCCGCAAACACACACCAGTTTCAGCCCCTGCTCCGAAACAGTACGGCAAAAAAAAAAGGCACGCTCGGTCGTATTGAGTCCGCTTCCCCTCATGGGGGCTATGCCAGCACCCATTGAAGCGCGCACGGACCTTGAAAGGGAGCCCATGGAGCGAAGTCCGGCGGCCGCTGCGGATTACCCTACAGATTCAACGCCGACCCAGGGGAAGAGGGACGAGGAGACGAGGGGAGGAAAGGGAAGGGGGACAAACTGGCAATGGCCCCGGGCTCGGGGAGACTCGCCTGCCATTAAACTGCGGACTTGAAACTCCGACCAGCCGCCGCCTCCTCGGAGAGACGATGCAGAATGGCGACACATACGAACTACCCAGTCATGTGCTAGAGGTGATCCGCGTCCCCTCAAGGGGGTTTATAGCCAAACCCATCGAAGAACCGCTGTCGCCGCCCGGCAACGCGTAGGATACGGGTTCGATCCACCCGGAATCCCAAAAGCGAGCGAGGAGGGAAGGGAGGAAGACGAAACAACACAGCCTAACTGTACAGCGCCTCCTGCCGGAGCAGAGGAGCCAGGCCCAGTGCGGCCGGCATCACTGCAACAGATTGTCATCAAGTACGTCGACGAAATAGTGGAAGAACGAGGCCCCTGGGCGAATGCACTGGGGATGGGGAGCAGCGCCAGAACGGAAGGGCGTCCGCTCGCGCCCGCACGGGGGCCAACCGCGAATTCCGGCCTTCCAACGGCCCAAAAGCCCAAAGATCGCCCAAGAGGCCCACGACGACCCCCAGAGGCCCCCAAGACGGCAAAAGAGGCCTCCAAGACGCTCAAGATGGCCTCCAAGACGGCCGAAGAGCCCTCCAAGACGTCCTCCAAGAAGGCCCGAAAGGGTCAAAATGGCCTCCAGGCGGCCAAGATGACTTTCAAGATGCCCACGTGTTTCCCGAAGGCTTTCCAAAGCGATTCGGGGAACACATAGACCGATAGCTTGGCAGGTCTGGCCTCAACGTTCGGCCACATAGGCGCTTCCCCAAAGGCAGGGGCCGCATCACATCCCCCACTGGTGTTCCCAGCACCACTGTCCTCACCACCGCTGTCCCCACTGGTTCCACCACCGCCCCTACTGTCCCCACCAGTGGCCCGACCACTGTCTGTCGCACTGTCCCCGCTGTCCCCAGAACTGTTCCCACCACGGTTCCACTCTCCCCACTGTCTCCACGGCCCCAACCACTGCCCGACTATCCCCACTGTCCCCACTGTCCCACTGACTCCTCCGCTGTCCCACTGAGCTGTCCCACTGTTCCCACCACTGTCCCCACTGTCCCCACCACTGTCCCCACTGTACCTCTGTCCCATTGTCCCACCGCCGTCCTCGCCACCGCCTTCACCACTGTCCCCACCACCATTGTACCCTCCACTGTCCCACTGTTTCCACCTCATTCCCATTGTCCCCACACCACTGTCCCCACCACCACCGTCCCACCACTGTCCACTGTCCCCCCCTGTTCCCACCATTGTCCCCACCACTGTCCCCACCACTACCGTCCCCACCACTGTCCCACTGTCCCACTGTCCCCACCACTGTCCCGCTGTCCCCTCACCACTGTCCCCACCAACACCGTCCCCACCACTGTCCGCACCCCCACTCGGTTTTCGAGGGGGGGGGGGGGGGTTCGAACCGGTAGTGACCCCCCCCCTTTTCATGATGAGGGGGGGGGGGAGGGGTTCGAACCGGTAGTGACCCCCCCCGGTTTTCCGGAGGGGGGGGGGGGGGGGGAGGGGTTCGAACCGGTAGTGACCCCCCCCGGTTTTCCGCCAGCAGCGGTAGAACACGCTCTTTCTAATCTAATGACCCATGTATATTTCATACATGACCTGTGGACCGTGCGGCCACGTAACGGGGAAGTCGGCTGCTCGTGGCTTCTTCGCCCTGTGACAGCCGACTCGGTCCGATGAATGGAGCCCCCGACGCATCCCCTCGCAACAACATAACTTCGCAACTGACGACGTGACTTTCGGCTTGCAAGCTGCCTGTCTGAACGACAGAATTTTCCTCATCTGGACCAGCTGGTTCCAGCTTGACGTCTCCTGACCAACCCAATCTCTGTCCCCAACAAAAATCAAATACTCCGCTGCGCGATCTAGAATTGTATTAGGACCAACATGCGCATGCCGAGTATTTCACGACTAGCAGCCGCACTGACAAAGAAGCATGACAGCGAGCATGGCAACAGTAATGCGTGCGCAAGACTCCTCAACACACCACGTACACATCCGTAGAGCTGCTGTCAGATACTGTGGAGGAGGAATGCTTCGAGGGATACGTGGTACCGGTGGGCGTGGGGTAAGACGACGGGTGGGCCGCCAGCGAAGACAGGACGAGATAAACAACCAGGAGATCACACCAAGGGCCGTGGTGGAGAACTGCTTCGAGGGAGACGCGGGACCGTCGACTGGTAGCCAGTGCGCGTGGGCGTGTGACAAGACGAGGGGTGGGAGGAGACACTGGACGTAGCAGGAAACAGGAGGCGAGGACTAGGGGAGTGGGGCTGGAGGCGCACATCGATTGAAATTGATACAACGCTGCCCCTTCCCAAGCTTCCCCACCAACGCCAGCAAGCGCCTGCGCCACCTCGGCAACCACTGCAAACACTACTCGAAAATAATCACTCCCTACCTGCGCATGGTGGCACGAACATAACGAACGTGCCCAAGTTGGCTCTTGACTCCTTTACTTCTTAAGCTTTGCTTACATGGGAAATGCGCTAGTTAGGGTCATGCCAACTCAAACAATGTTATAGCAATCCACACTGATACCTAACCACAACATCCACATAACAACATGCGTGTTCAATAACGACGCGCTCATTCGACAACGTTTTTAGAAACCACCAAGCAATGCAAAAACATGTGAGATCCACTTCTCGGGGATAGATGCAATGCAACATACGTATGCTGTTTGTGTCGATTGAAACAATCATTTGCTCGATGATGCAACGATGTATGGGCTAAGCGCGGAGATTGCCAGCTTCCGTGCACGTTCCACCCGCAACCCCTAAACTTTCGTATCGTCACTTCGGCTCGACCTGCATCAAGAAATACAAGGAGAATCGGGGCCGTCTAAACAGGGGGTTCGCAAATCATTGCTGGAGGCATGTGCGCGGAAGACGGGGGGCGTGCCAGGGGACATATTCATAGAAGGAGAAAGGGCCACGCATTCTGGGGAGACATCATGGCCCCGGCCACGATATGCCCCCCAGTCATCGCCCCCCTCTTTGCCGCCCCCGAGCGAGGCGACGCCCAACCTCACCAGTGCCGAAGAGCGTGTGCAGCGTCTCCTGGCATCGATGCCCGTAAGCGACACTGCCGCGGCCGCTGCCAGCCATTCTCCACGCCCTCTCCTGAGCACTCACAGACTGCATGCAACACGTCGGACGGCCTTCCTGGGCTTGTGCGGTGCAGGTGGTCACGGGCGGGGCCGGCCGGGCCGGCCGAAAGGAAAGGTTTTCGGGGGGGTACAAAGGTGGCGTTGGGGAAAAGGCGGGGTTGGAGGGAAAATCGCTCCGGACGGCCCCTGGAAGAAGGAAACGCGTTTAACGGCAGCATCCAGCTGGGCCCGTTCCCCAGCCCCACCTTGGGATAACCATGCCCCTACGAAACCTGCAGATTAGTAAAAAGGGGTTTTGCGAATCAGCTCGCGCAACTGACTTTGCCGGTGCCTCCCGGCGCCGGAGGCGCCAATGTACTGAAGAAAACGCCCCGCGCATGGGGGCCGAGACCAGCTGCATGCAGCAGAGTTCGCCCCCTTCTCCTCTCCCAGCACGCACCCCCCTTGCGTTCGACCCGAGCAGGGCTGCCCCCAAGCGACGCACATGTTGCTGCAGGTGGGTGCTCCAAGATGCGAGTAGGGGATCGACTACAGACTGTATTTTCTCGCCGAATCTGTAACGAGTAGATCGACTGCAGAGAATGGATTCGATGGTGGACAAACCTCCCTTTAGTAAACCTCCTCTTAGTGAAAGCGGCCAATTCGCTAATCGACGTGTCAGGGTAGGAGGTCTGTCCACCTCCGAGTGAGGGGGAGCGCTGCTCAGAGGGGGGGGGTCCCCGCTCAGGGAGGGAACCGTCGACTCGGAACCGGCGATCAGCGACGCGCCTGCACGCACTCCTGGGCGGGGCGGGCTACGGGGCCCATATCGGCGATCAATGGGCGATCGGGGGTCGATGAATCCCCCCCCGAGCCTATCCTTGCCAATGATTCTCGTCGTTGTCTGGTTTTCGGGTAACAGCTCGGCTCTCTGGCGGCCGTTCTGGACGGTCGCAGCACTCCCAGGTGCCTCTCGGCGAGGAGCAGCTGCTGGGACGCATCCAGAGGCAGGAAAACGTCCAGGAGCATACGAGGAACGTTCAAAAACCTCGAACCTCGCGGTTCCCCTCTGAGCCCATCTTCCCTCCCGACGTTACCCCTGAGGCACGTGGCACTCTAGGCAGCGCCCTGGCGGGAGCGGGCCAGTCTGTATCCTCCCAGAGACACCCTGCAAGACATGGAAGACAGAAACACGTCACAGACATGAGCTTGGCCCCGCTCGGATCGCTAAGATCGGCTTAGTTGTTTGTCCTAAACGGTTGGACCCCGCCCTCCCCAGTCGGCTTGGGTTTTCTCCTCTCCCTGCTCCTGCCTCTGCCTGCCCTTCTCTCTCCCTCTCTCCCGCTCAAGCCTTCGGGGCTCAAAGCCCTGGAGCCGACCTCAGGAGGTCTGGGCGCCCTCGGCGCCCGGAAGCGTGCGTGCCATGGCTGCCTGGCGCCTGGCGCTGGCAGGCCCTGCACGCGGGCTGATCGCGCTGACCGCCAGCGCGACCGCCTGCGACTGGCGCGGGCCGCTCAGCACTGCTGTTGCCCGCGCCGGATGGGGCCGCCCGGCTGTGGCCCAGGAGGTCCCGTTCGGGTACACCGTGCCGTACTACGACGACTCCGAGTACGGCATGGAGATCGGCGAGCACGAGGAGGAGGGTGGGGCTGCAGGCAGCCCCCAGGCGCCGCCCGACAGCGGGCCGCCGGGAGCGCCGCCCCCGCCCCCCGCCCATGCTGCCGGAGGAGTCGAGAACGGCAGCCACCCCACCGAGGACCCACGTGGCGAGGAGTCCTGGGTGGGCGGCTGGGGTGTCTGGGCGCTGGGATGGAAGCCCCTGCGTGAGGGCACCTGGGCCTGGCGCCTGAGCGGCATGGGCGGGGTCGCCTATGGACAGCCTCGGGAGCGCCTTCTCAACCCATGCTGAGACGGGCTGGCTGACCAAGGACGGCGGATGGTTCTTCTACGCCCTCGAGAAGCTGGGCCTGACGGTCTTTGGGGCCGCCTGGCCTGCCGTGGCATGGACGTTCATCTTCTTGGCTTTCCTGGCGGTGCTTGCCTTTCTTACTCATATCTGTCGTACTCTACTGGCCCCCTGTGCAGCTGCCCCCTGGCTGATGGGTCTTTTGGCGCGGTGCTCCAAGTGCCGCCGGCGAGAGCCTGGCGATGCAGCTGCCGAAAGGTACCTGCCGCCGGCTCCGCCCGCCCTTACCCAGATCAACTGGATGGGGCCAGAGACCGGGCCAGCTACGACCACCGAGTATTACAGTGAGAAGGTGAAGGGTCGTGGAACTGGGAGGCGACCCAATGACGTGCTGGTCAAGATCGACAACCACGTGGCCCGGCTGAAGATCGACCTCTCGGAGCCCAAGCGGATCGACCGGAGTGGCCTTTGGATAGACTACCTGGGCGTGAAGGGTGCGAATTCGCGCGCACTTCGCCAGAAGTTGGAGTTGCTCGAGGGCCGTTCCATCCACCTGTGCCGCAATATGGTCTGTCGAGATCAACCCGGGGAAGTTCATTGCAAAGAATGCGCCGCGCTGGATTCCGAGGCGATTGTGGACATCGGCTCCCACGCCAGGTTCACCTCCTGCCGCGGCATCTCCCTGCTTTGGCGGGCCCTCGCCGATCTGGGGAGAGGCGCCTGGAAGATCATCGTGTTCCTCTACTGCATCCTCTCCAGTGGTTGCTCTTTCTGCTGCCGGCGACGCCGCCGTCGCAAGACAGGCGCTGCGGAGCCAGGCGTTGCAGGGAGCATCGCAGAGGTCTTAGATCAGGAATCAGAGTCGGAGGTGGAGGCCGAGGACAAACCATGCGAGGCCGTTCGGGTGGGCATCGTACTTCGTGGCGGCGCCCGCCCCTTGGCCCCCGACGGCTGCCGTGGCGCCGCGGAGGCCGAGCCGACTACCCTGCTCTTCGAGGACGGACAGGCGTCAGACCTCCCGCCACCCAGCGACGGGCGGAACTCTTTCGCCCATCTCTGCGCCCATCATGCCCAGGTCTACCGAGCTTCTCGGTATCGTGATAATTGTTCGCAAGTGACTTGTTACCGTCAGGCAGTCGGCAACGCGGAGGGCGTGCCACTCTGCCTTCTTCATCTGGGCGGGGAAGCGAGCAGAGCAGTGCAGGCAGCTGCAGCAGTCCAGGGCCGCGGGTTCCTCTCGAGTCTGGGCCTGAGGCGCCGGGCAGTCCGCAGTCGCAGTCCACGGGCGCGCGAGCAGGGCGCACCAGGCAATGCAACTCCCCCCGCAGACGGAGCCCGAGGACCCGAGAGCCACCGCGGGCATGCAGCCCCTGGGCTACACCCACGTGATGCATCAGCCTCACCACGAGGTCCACCTGTTGGTGTCCGGTTCGAAGCGTCGCCTTCTCCGAGGGTGCCGCTCCCGCGGGATGCCAGCCCTGCCCCAGACGAGGAGGCCGAGCAGGGTGACTCCCTCGTATTGCGTGTGCGGGTGCATTGGGCCGCCGGCCCGCAGTGGGTCATATTCTTGGGGAAATCTTGACCCGGAGGAGGGCCCACTGGAGATGGCAGCATGACCGTGGTAGACGTGGAGGAGCCGCGCTGCAAGGACCACTCCACAGAGGGCCAGGAGAACGTCTGCTTCACCCTCAAGACCGCGGGGATCGAGTATGCTCCCGTCGCTAGCGACCAGGGAAGGCTCCCCGCCGGCTATCTCGAGGAGCTATTGCATCATCCTCCACTCGGAGCCGAGGAGATGGGGATCGGCGTGCACGGCGTCGTCGTGAGCAACACCATGTGGGAGAAGCTGCGCCCTTGGAACGGGGTCCCCGTGGGCGGGAAGACCAAGAGGATCGGCCGCCCTCAGTGGGCTCAGCTTCGGGCCCGTGGGGACTTGCTTGTGTACCGACATCCAGTGGGTACTTCTGGCGACGCCCATGGCGCGCCGCAGCCCACCTCGGACGAGATGGGCGCGCAGCTCAAGAAGCACTGGGCGAGGCTTGACCGCAGCAGCTCCCCCAAGCCCCCTTTCGGCGTCGGGTGGGGTCTGGGCGAGGAAGGTGACCCAGCCCCCTCAGCCCCCCGCCGCTCTTCCCGCAGCCCCGCAGGGAAGGCTCACGAAGAGGAGAGCACCGGAGAGGCCATGCTGGGGCTGTACCTCGCGGCTCATGAGGAGGGGTCGGACGACGCCTCGGCGCTGCAGAGCGTGGCAGCAGGGTACGATGAAGACGTCACCGTAGTCTTGGAGCACCTCATCAAGTACACCCAGCGCCTCATGCGCAGCAGCGGAGCCGAGGAGCGGGCCAAGTACCAGATGCACATCGACAGGTGGGAGAAGACGCTGGAGCGTGTTCGAACCGAAAAAGACGAAGGTGTGAACCCGCCCCTCGCCAGCGGCCTCTTAAAGCTAGACGCCGAGCGCAGGCCCGACACCAACCAAGAGCCTAGCCAACCTGGAGCCCCTCCTGGACTAGACGCCGCAGCGAGTGCTCCACCCCTGCCGCCACCGGCCACCCCGCCTGGCGTGCGCGTGCCGGGAGCTACTCGCCTTTCCCCCCCGGGTTTGATGCCCAGCCTCGTTCCGAACCTCGGGCAGATGTTCACCAATCGGAGCGCCTACGGACATGGGGGACTGGTTAAGACCCCTGGGCAACCTGATCGTAGGTATGCCGCGGGAGCTGGGGAGGGCGAACCATCGGCCGCCTTCACCACCTACGCACAAGTCCTCCAGAATGGCCAAGAGCAGCAGCACCTGGACAACATGCGGCTGCTGCAGGCGGTGGACAGCCTCCGCAGGTCCGGCGAGGAGGAGAAGGTGGCGCAGCGGGGCGCCCTCGGTGCCATCGGACGCGCCGAGGAGCTGGACGTGTACCTGGCGCGGGGCTGCGACACCCTCGACGTGGAGGTCTGCGGCACCCTGGCCGGGCGGGAGTTGTTCCATGGCCTCAAGCGCGCCTGCGAGCACGCGAAGCATGTGATGCAGGCGGTGAACTGGCCGACGACGGTGACGAATAGGATGGCGTACG